TAGCTCCCAGAGCAGCTGAGACTACAGGCACGCACCACCATGCCTGGTTAACTTTTTAATTTCTTCGTAGAGATAGGGTCTCACTACATTGCCTAGGCTGGTCTTGAACTCCTGCGCTCAAGCGATCCTCACACCTCAGCCTCTCAAAGTCTTGGAATTATAGGCATGAGCTACCACGCCTGGCTCCACCTGCTAGCTTTATCAGTTGACAAAGTTAATCACTTCAAGTTCCAGTGTCTTTGTCTGTAAAATGAGAACACTAGCATCTACACTTCACTGAGTTGTTGTAAAGTTTAAACTCAATAGTACAGAAAGTGTAAAGTTCCTAGAACAGTGCTCAGTAACTATCGCTTCTCTTCTGTGCCAGTAAAAGATAACTATATGATAATGCTCACCAATGTGGCCAGAAGGAAACAGTTTCAGTTTCACTGAAATTATAGATAACCTGTCCACTGTCTAAACACTATTTAAAACACGTGTAGCCAGCCACACCCGCAAACAGAAACTAAAGACTGGAAGTGTATTTCCCAAAAGAAATCACTGAGAGATATAGTTACGACGAAACACTTTAGCACAGGGGAGGTACCTGAGCCAGATGTACAAAATGAAATCTGAGCAGAAACCAGAGGTGACTAATATACCACGTGCACTGAGGGGCAAAAACGAAAGCCTACTCTGTTCCTTAATCTCAATTGCCCCAGGAGAATGGGACCTTGTCCTTCACAGAGGCAGTCTGGGACAGTGGCTAGAAGTATCCATTACGGAGTCAGATAGACCTAGGTCCAAAGTCTGCCTCTTCCACTCTCTCTAGTTCACTGACTTCGGGAGAGTTGCCGAACCTCTCCGATCGGCAATTTTCTCTTGGGAATAATAACGATAAACTCATAAACGTTCTACTTCTGGCTGGGCACAGTGGCTCATGCCTGTAATCCCAGCACTTTGGGAGGCTGAGGCAGGCAGATCACTTGAGGTCAGGAGTTCAAGACCAGCCAGGCCAACATGGGGAAAACCTGTCTCTAAAAAACAAAAACAAACAAACAAACAAACAAACAAA